TAAAACATGCACAAAAGCTTCACAAAGCTAAGCCAAAACAAGTAAGCATAGTGGTCTAAATGCTAGGCACATGTTAAGGCAATTCATGGCATTACAAGACAAGTATGCGTAGCAAGCATGGTGTGTATAAACCAAGTTAAAACAGTGTTTTATCATGGAAAAATAATCACAAATAACACTTAAGACATGGCCAACATGAACTCAAAAATGGTGCTCACACATGAGGCTAAAATGGCCAATATTGAAGGCAACAAGGAAAGGGGATGGCCCTCTCCTTCTTAGGACCCTAAGACACCATCCTCACCACTGAAATTCCTCAAGATTTCAGTGGTGAGGAGGCCCAAACAAGGTGGTCCCGGAGCTCACCAAAAATAGCACAAAATGGGGCCAAACAAGGCCTAAGAGGGGGTAAACGACCCCAAACACAAAAGTGACCTTAATAAAGTATCTTAAACACAAAAAAAAATAGAACTTTCTTATGTTATACACAAAGCTCAAAACAGCAAGCAAGATAGGATAAAAATGTGTGCCAAAAACGGGAAATATAAAGTAAAAGTGTTACCCTTGGAGAATCCTTGAAGAACAGCAAATGCAGCCTTCTTCTTCTGATCGAAACCAGTCCAAAGCCTCAAGAACAAACCCTCAATGCCTCCCAAAGTCGAAGTATGGTGTAATAGTGTGTGTTTTAGTGCAATACTATAAACTAAACACACTTTTAGGCTATAAAACACACACAAAATGAAGAGAGAGAGGGAGATATAGAGAGAGAGGATGATATATCAGATATATGTATGTATTAGGTCTAGATTTTCTAAACCAAAACAAAAGAGAGAGGAGGGGCCCTTATATAGACCAAGGGAAAGGCTAAGCTTCCAAGAGAAGCTATCCTAAAGGGTCAAGGCTTCTAAGGGAAGCTAAGCAAAGGGTGCAAGGCTTCCTCAGGAAGCTGGGACAGGTGTCCAAGCTTCTTGAGGAAGCTAAGACAAAGGTCCAAGCTTCCTCAAGAAGCTAGACCAAAAAGGCACAAAAGGGGCAAAACAGCCACACTCGTGCATGGACGGCTAGGTTTGTGCACTCCAGCGGGCACAGCTGGCATGTGTTATTCCTAAAAAAGGGGAAAAAGTGATACCGGCCAGAAAATGAGGCCACCAGCCAAATAAAGTGCCGGTCGACCACTCATATTGTCGATCGGCCAATGGACTATTTCACCAATGGCCGGTATCAAGAAGACACGGCCGGTGGCCTCAAACCACGGCCGGTAGGTCTCTGGGGGGGCTAACAAGCCACTCCCTGCCTCAGAAACAAAAACGCTAGTGTTTGGTGCAAAACCAACCACAGAACAGTCAAGTTGAGAGATCCTGAAGTAAGGCGCGCAGCCGAGACCTCCGGGAACTCAAAACAAACACGAGCATGGATGATCACCGAGTGTTCAAACGGTGATGTTCAAGTCTTGAGGACGATCAAAAATGGGGTGTCTACATCGTGTGACTTAGGGACTACCCTTGGGCTACCACATCTAATTACGTATCCTCACTACTAACCACCATTCAAGAATTCACCAAATATGTTTTTCTATGTTAAACCACCTTGTAGACACTTAAAGTTTCACGTGTCTTGATCATCGTATGATTAATCAAGGAAAATAAATTTTCTCGATTGGTCTAAATTTTCAAATGGATATGGGTCCTACTAAGATTATGGATCTTAACCCATTTTAAATTATGGGTCACACTAAAATAAAAGTGAACTTATTTTGATAATTGGATCAACCCAAAAGTGTGGGGGCCATGAAGATATTTTGTCAAAAATATTAGTGGAATAATTCAAATTTAAATTTAAATTTGAATGCAAATCATGTCCATAAATTAAGAAATAAATTGTCATTTCCTTGAAAATTCAAATCAATTTTGGCATTTCCAAAATTAACTCTTCCCTCCTAAGCCTATATATAGAGGCTCTCATTCGGGGGAAAGGGAGATATTCTTTGGCTAATGGTCTTGCAAGCTCTTGAGCAATTTCGAGACTCTGCCAAATTCTCTTCTTAAAATTCTCTCTAAAGTTTCTCAAACTTAGAAGAAATGATTATAAAGCACTCCAAACTTATGTCAATCATTTCAAGTTATAAATACGAATTTGGTTTCTCTTTTCAAAGAGATCATTTCAAGACTCGTTCGAGATCAAGTCGTTCAAGCCCTTGATCGAGCCTTTCTTCTCCAAGTTTCTCCATTCGAAGACTTGAAGAAATTCATCAACTTGTTTGGTTCAACAACAAGCTTTTACAACCGTTGAATTACACCAATTTCGGAGGTCGAATCAAAGGATTTGTTCTTTTATAATAGAGCAAACTACAGAGGATTATACCCATTTATTATAATTAATAAAATTACTTATTTGTGCATTTATTTCGTGTCTTAATTTCGTAGCTGTAATTAAGACATGAAATAAATGCACAAATAAGTAATTTTATTGATTATAATAAATTGGTACAATTCTTTGTGGTTTTCTCTATTACAAAAGAACAATTCCTCTGATTTGATCTCCGAAATTGATGTAATTCAATGGCTGTAAAAGCTTGTTGTTGAACTAGACAAAAAAACAACAGATGTTGGTTGACTACTTGTGCCAATCGCTTGCCTCGCAATAGATGTATGGGAAGTTTCCTCACCAACAACTTGCTTGGACTTAGATGTAGGGTTCACCTTCTCAACAAACGTGCCTTGTGGTGTAAAGCCAGGTGGATGAGAATTGTCTTGACTTGCCTCGTCAGCATTTCATGTTTCTAACTTGTTCATCAATGTGGCAATCTGAAGATCTTTCTCTTCCACAGTTTTGGTGAGCTTGTCAATGGCACGAGCCATGGTTGCCAATTGTTCTTCCACTGAAATGGTACCAGTGGTCATGACTTGCATAGCTACCGAGCGAGACAAATTTGAGTGATTCGATGAGATTGAACGTTGAAGACTACTAGGAATGGTCCTGAGTGTGAGCATGTACTTAAGTTTGCATCAGAAGCTACGAGTGTTAGGTGTGGAGAGAAACCTTCTTGCTACGGGTGATCGGACCCATAGAAATGTTGTTGTTGCTGATCGTGACAGCGGCATTCTTGCAGGCGTTCTTATTGATCAGAGCAATTTGAACTTTCTTTGAAGCCATTATGCTTGATCAAACAAGGCTCCAAAAAGATGCTTTAGGAGAAAGAGATGAGAGACAAAGAGGTCCCACTGGGCATGCTAAAAATTTGTAAACACAAATTTCGTATCTTGTAATTAAGACGCGAAATAAATACACAAATAATTAATTTTATTTGATTATAATAAATTGGTATAATTCTTTATGGTTTGTTTTATTACAAAAGAACAAATCATCTGATTCGATCTCCGAAATTGACGTAATTCAATGGCTGTAAAAGTTTGTTGTTGAACTAGACAAATTGATGGATTTCTTCAAGTCTTCAAATAGAGAAACTTGGAGAAGAAAGACTTGATCGAGGGCTTGAACGGCTTGATCTCGAACGAGTCTTGAAATGATCTCTTTGAAAAAAGAAACCAAATTTGTATTTGTAACTTAAAAGGATTGGCACAAGTTTGGAGTGTTTTTAATCCTTTCTTCTAAGTTTGAGGAACTTTAGAGAGAATTTTAAAAAGAGAATTTGGCAGAGTCTCGAGATTGCTTAGGAGTTTGCAAGACTATTAGCCAAAGAATGTCTCCATTTCCCCCTAATGAGAGCCTCTATTTATAGGCTTAGGAGGGGAGACTTAATTTTGGAAACGCCAAAATTGATTTGAATTTCCAAGGAAATGACAATTTATTTCTTAATTTACGGGCATGATTTGCCCTTAAATTTAAATTTAAATTTGAATTATTCCACTAAAATTTTTGACAAAATATCTTCATGGGCCCCACACTTTTGGGTTGATCCAATTATCAAAATAAGTTCATTTTTTTTTGGTGTGACCCATAATTTAAAATGGATTAAAATCCATAATCTTAGTAGGATCCATATCCATTTGAAAGTTTTGACCATCTTAATTTTGACCAATCAAGAAAATTTATTTTTCTTGATTAATCAAATGGTGATTAAGACACGTGAAAATTTAAGTGTCTGCACACCTATAGCAATTGTTGACCTTGATTAAAGTGGAAAATATCAAATTAATTATAACTTAGTAATAAATTTCATAAATATTAATAATTTAAATACATTAACTTTCTATAAATCTGTAATTATTTTTAAAATGTGGACTGAAAAGTAATTTTCCCAATTAAAAATGTGTGCTAGAGAGAATAAAATTTTCGTGTGTTCGGCCCTAGTGTTGGACCTACCAAATTTTATTCCACCAACAAGATGATCAAAAAGTGATGTAAATTAGAGTTAGGAGCTTAACATCCTATTGTAAATTAGAATTAGGAGCTTAACATCTGAGAAGACTAGTGAGCTCGCCCCTCTCTCTCTCTCTCTCTCTCTCTCTGATAATCAAGTATTCCGATTAATTTATGTGTATCTTGACAAAATTTTGGGATCCTAAAATTAACGATAGGGTAAACATCCAGTAGCCTCAAAGTTTGGGATGTTTGGTATTTTTTATTCTTTTGATAACTAGATCCAGACAAACTTACACACGCCTTAACTAAATCCTGAGTCCTTGAAATTAACGACTAAGTAAATCTCTAGTGACCCCAAAATTTAGAATAATTAGCCTTTATAAATTTCAAACTTGCGACATCTTAAATGGTAAGTCCTTTGATTACTTTCTTTACCGACTAAATAATAAATTCCTTTTTAGTTCTTATAGCTTGCCCTTAAATTTGGTTCATTCCACAAGGTTCTGTCAAATGATTCCAAACCTTTTTCGAAACTCAATGATAACTAAGACCTTAAAAAATAAATAAATAACTGAGATCTTTGCAAATTATTTATTTAATTTGACATTTTCCTAAATAATTAACAATTTGTTGATCTTATGCATGTACACTCGAGCTATTATAAATATCCACTCTAGTCCCCTTCGTTCTCCACAAACTCCAAAAGCTTGTGTTCTCTTCCTAGCTTATATAATTCTTTCTCATCTTTTTCTCTTCTTTACCACCAACTTTCTCAAAGATTTTCCCAAGAAAAAGAAAAAAAATGGGTGGAAATTCACCCTGTGCTTCCTGCAAGATGCTGCGACGTCGATGCACCAAGGACTGCATCTTTGCTCCTTACTTCCCTTCCGATGACCCCCGCAAGTTTGCCATCGTTCACAAGGTCTTTGGTGCTAGCAATGTTAGCAAAATGTTGCAGGTTCTCTCTCTCTCTCTCTCTGTATGTATACATGTATGTAGACATGCCATTATCTGCACATATATGTTTTTAAGCTTTTGTTCATTTGGGTTTTATTTGCTTTGACAATATATATCAATAGTGCTAGGAAATTCTAAATTATCAAAAAATTAAAATATGTGAATTAGAATTATTCTTAATATTGAGTTTCTAAGCTTTATAGTATGTATATTTATATTTATAGCTGATTCAGAATATAATTTACAGTCAATACGACAAGTTCAGCTATTATTTATTTATTTATTTTTCATGAATGATGTTTAAAAATAAAGACTATGTCATCCGATTCTCAATACATATCATTATACTTTGTTTTTTGGGAATAATGTAGGATCTTCCAGTTCATCAGAGGGCAGATGCAGTGAGCAGTATAGTGTACGAAGCGAATGCAAGGATGAGAGACCCTGTCTACGGCTGCGTTGGAGCCATATCCTACCTCCAAAACCAGGTTTCTCAGCTCCAAATGCAGCTCGCAGTGGCTCAAGCTGAGATATTTTGCATCCAGATGCAGCAAGAGCTGCCTATGCAGACTCCGAACAAGCACGAGCACGAGCATGAGCACGAACACGAGTATGAGCACGAGCACGAGCTGGAGCTGGAGCTGGAGCTGGAGTTGGTTGACCCAGATGACAAATCATATTTTCTCCACGACAACCTCCCTCATCATCATCAGTACCTGGACTTTGCCTCTTCTAGCAATGTAATGCAGGGCTCTCTCAAAAGAGAGTCTCTCTTTGGACATCATGACATGATTTCTTCCTAGTAATCATAAAAATGTTTTCATCTTTTAGACCTTTCTAATGTGTTAAATAATAATTAAATGATAATATTAATGATTGAGTGATTATTATACAGAAATACTAACTTAACAATTAACATGCTGATATTGTGTTATCGAATTAATGAGAACACTAGTCATATGACGGAAACTCTTATAGGTACAAGACAAAGCCAAACCTATTAATCTCTTTGCCGTAATCTCATTAAAAGGTGTAACAAGGATGAATAATTCTACAAATATTTACACTCTTATTAAAAATCTTGTTAGAAGTACATAAGGTTAAATATGATTAGTTGAGAATGGAGTTGATTGCATATTTCTGAATCACAAAGGGATAAATTGCTCTGAGCCCAAACCACAAAATGGTAAATTGAATTTTTCTTAAAAATTTTAGGACAAATTACACTGGTGGTCTCTACATTTTGTCTCTTATGGCATTTTGGTCCATATATTTTAATTGGCACAATTTTGATATTTAATTTTAAATTTTATGTCAATTTAATCCAATTAATAATGTTGTTAGTATTTTTGACTGAAAATAATCACTAAATTAGTTAAGGTTAACTTACTGGGGTTAGTAAATTTATAATTTTACTCTAAAAAATATGATACATGCCACTTACATGTATATTTTTCATTAAAAAAAAAATGTTAAGAGTTGTAACTAATTGTATCAAATTTAAACAAAATCATAAATTCAAGATAAAAAATCAAACCAATTAAAATTATAGAAATCAAAATAATACAAAACTAAAGTATAACAACTACTATCGCAATTTGCATAAAATTTTGATAAACAAGTATAGATGCTACCATTAACCTCAACCTATCATATTGAGAAGCGAATGGCCATTTACCTCTTTCCATTAATTGTTATGTTTTGCAACAAAATAATATCAACTATGTTTTGATATTCGTTTTTTTATTTGTATTGTTTAGAGAGTAGTGTTATAAAAATTTTAAAAAAATAAAAAAAAATTATTTAATTTTTAATTTTTTATTTTTTATTTTATCCAAAATTGATGACGCTAAGGTGAATATTTTAAAATAAAAAACCCATTAGAATGGCTTGTATTTTTAAAAAGGAATAATGCTATACACAATCTTATTTATTATTTTATTTTTTTCACTGTTACATACGAGATACTAAGACTCATATTAATAAGAAAAATTTTATTACAATAGTGCTGCAGACCCCCAGTTGGTGGCAGACTCCCACCACCCCACATACACGTGGGGGGCAGGGAGAAGAAGAAACGAAAAAAAAAAAAAATTGGGCCAATCAGCACCAGTGAGGGTGCTGGGGGCCTCTCCCATTGTCCCTTTTATTATACGTATTCTTTGAAAGAAGTGTATCATATATTTTAGTTATAATTAATTTTCTTTTTTAGTTATGACAATATTTTAATTTTGACTCATAAGATCTTTAGTTATGAGAAGCGAATGGCCACTTACCTCTTTCCATTAATTATTATGTTTTGCAGCAAAATAATAACAATTATGTTTTGATATTCGTTTTTTTATTTGTATTGTTTAGAGAGTATTGTTATAAAAATAAAAAATAAAATTAAAAAATTTATTTTATTTTTTATTTTTTATTTTACCCAAAATTGATGACGCTAAGGTGAATATTTTAAAATAAAAAACCCATTAGAATGGCTTGTATTTTAAAAAGGAATAATGCTATACACAATCTTATTTATTATTTTATTTTTCTCACTGTTACATACGAGCTACTAAAATTCATATTAATAAGAAAAAATTTATTATACGTATTCTTTGAAAGAGGTGTATCATATATTTTAGTTATAACTAATTTTCTTTTTTAGTTATGACAATATTTTAATTTTGACTCATAAAATCTTTAGTTATGCTTCAGTGGTGTTTGGTTATGACTTTTTTTATTTTATTTTTATAGTTATCACTGATAAAATATGAAATTATGATATTTTCTTCTATAGTTATAAGGTGCATATAGTACATACCCTACTACTATATGAGGGGTGTGCACCATAGTCTTTTCCTATTAATAAATATATATAAGACTCATTTATGTTTACATATGAGAAAATGTAATAAAAATGAAATTACATAACATTTATAAAAATGTAATTATCGTGTCATATAATTTTCCACTATTGTATTATTTTTGATGCAGTGGTGATAAATTATATAATAATCAAGTTATGATTATATAGTTTTTTATTTATTTATTATATAGTTATCATATTTTTTATTATTATTATTTTTTTTTGTTGGATGTGTAGTTATTAGTATTATTAGGCCAAGTTTGGAAAGATAAGAAAAAGTTAAAAAGTCAAAAAATTATTTAAAAAGTTAAAAAGTTAACATTATTCACCAAAAGTCAACAATTACGGCTGCACAACTTCTAATTCGAATTTTTTACACACTAATTTATATAATTTTTTAATACATATTTTTTTATAAAAAGTTAAAAAATTAACCTAAACATTCATATATTTTTTTTAATTTTTTAATCTAAAAAAATAAAAAATACACTTATTTAAGACACCCCAAACAACCCCTTATTCATGAAATACTGACAAGTTGGGAGTAAGGGATGAGTATGAAAACCAGGGTAATTGATGGAGTCAACGTTAGCATGTGGCACATGGAGCAAATATAGGAGTTTTCTGAAGTTATTAAACAAATGAAGCTTCTTCTCTCTCTCTCTCTCTCTCTCTCTCTCTTTCTCTCTATATTAAGTAGGTTAAACAAGTGAAGCTTCTTCTCTCTCCCTATTATTATTAGTATTAAATAGGTTAAACCAATGAAGCTTCTTCCCTCTCTCTCACTAAGGTTCAAACATATCTCCATCTATGTTAGAGACGTCAGAGACAAATTCCAATTGTAGCTCTCTACAATTATTTCAACAATGCTAGATGTTACAATTTTTGTGATCACAGTAATTTAAAATTGTCAAAACGATATTGTTTTGGCATGTTTTGCACTCAAAACGATGTCGTTTTGACAATTTTGAGCCATTGTGTCCACAAAAATTATTACCCTCAAACATTTTTCCAATTATTTACCACAAAATTACCTATACAAAATCATCTTATATAGATAATTTTATAGGGTAAACTATCTATAGATCTTATACTTAAACTTAATTATTATCAAGTGCTATTAAAAATAAGTCTTAGTAAAATTGTCACTGAAAATAATTTTTTTTGTGATAATTTTTTACATACGTCGCTAAAACTTGATAATTAGTGACTTTTTTGTCATGATTTTTATAAATTATTCTTAAAATTTAAAATTAGTAACTTTTTTTATGACAAATTTTTTCTATAAGACCTATTCGACAATAAGTCTACTTATTAAAACTTATACGCAAGTACCCCAAATTTTGTATTGTATAATGGGTATATTATAGTCGGTTAGATTTTTTATTTTTTTTTTGAAATATAAATTTCAATTTGAGAGAATTTTAGAGGCCCATGAAATTCACTATGGGTTTCATTTCGATAATCCAAATCGTTTATTTTGTAATTTTTTGTATATCATTCATTAAAAAATATTTTTATCTGATAATCATAATATTTTTTATTTATCACATCTGTCTCCGAAAAAATAAACAATAAGTATTTTTCTAAAAATATACCATTAATTCTTTTCTTTCTTTTTTTGTTTTGAGACAAATATAACAGAATGAAATTGTTACGATTATCGGATCGAGTTAATTTTTTTCATAAATTATATACATGGAAAGCCCTACAAAATGAACAATTTAGATCATCAAAAACAATATCCATGGTGAGCCCCATGAGCCCCTCAAATTCTCTCATGTTGAGATTTTAAACTTGAGAGAAACCTAATCCTTAGTTCAAATATTATCATTTGGACTAAATTGATACAATGTAAAAAGTTAAAACAAAATAAATGATAAGGATCGTGTGTATATTTTGCCCATCTTAATTATATAGAGGGACCCGATAAAAAAAAAAAAATTATATAGAGGGAAAAAAAGAAAAAAAAATTACAATAAAAAAAAGGGGTTTAACCCTTATAACAAAATAAACCCTTAGTTTTTTATTTTGTCAACTCAAACTCAAAACTTTTGACTTGTTTTCAATTTAAACATATTTTCGTTAAGTTAAACAAATGGAATAAAATATATTTTATTTGTCAAACTGAATGAAAAATGAAGATTTAGACATTTTATGTGCAGAGTTTACTAACTAAAATGTTATTTTTCTTAACAAAATATCCAAATAGTTTAGATTAAAAAAAATTAAAAGATTAGGATTTAAATTAATAAAAATTAAAAATTCAAGATTTATTTTGTTATAAGGGTCAAACTCTGAAATTTTTTTATTGTAATTTTCAAAAAAAAAATAAAGAAAAAGATAAAAATAAAAATAAAATAAAAATGAAGTGGAAGAAGTTAGAATTAATTTTCATAAATTCAATATCTAGCCAGCAGCTGCCGCATGGCAAACAACCAATACTATCCCACGTTATTTTTTGTCTCAAGAACCCTCAATTATTCATAATCAGCCACACAAATAAATGTAAAATTTGAAATCCTATTTTCTTACTTTTTAAGGATCTAGATCTCAATATAATGGAATTTATTTTATTTTATTATTATTTTTTTAATGTGAGTGACTCTAGATGATGGAAACTAAAATTAACGCGGGGGTTACAAATAATTTTTCCTATTTGGACTGTGATGCATTATTTGTTAAAATATATATATATTAAAAGTGAATGAAAATTAACTCTATTATTTGAATCAGACAATTATTTATGGTATCTCTTGAGATAAAATGGCGCGATCCTAAAGTTATAAGCCTTTAGAATGGTGACAAACACCTTTATAAATATTATTCCCACGTCATGTATTTCAGATAGAGTTTTGCATTCATACATTATGTCAACTCAAGTATAAAAAATAGAATGCATATTACAAATTAATTCATCATACACAAAGAAAGTTTTGAAATTTTTATGTGTGGTAATCGTTGTATTCTAGAGGCAAGAAGACATCTATCAATCGCAAGCATTAGAGCGAATGTCAAATTTCTGTCTTAAATATACAATGTTCAAA